TACCCAATCACTGAGAAAAACAAATGCGGAAGAGTGATTCTTTTTCCGATGTGATTAGAATCGTAAAAAAATATGCATTAATCGTATCCACTGGATCATTTAAGAAGCGAGATATTGGCGATAAGTATCTCGAAATCATGCACCAATATCTCTATAGAGAACGATACATCGAATTCGTCACAATCTGGTAGTTCTTCTTTATCACACAAAACCATCCATCTAAGATTTTTGGATCGAAAGCGCCTGTTTTCATTGCTCCCTCTCTGAAATCTATTCTGCTCATATTTCGAATCATAGTTTATTTGTGTAGTTCAGATGAAATCCTATCTATTATTGTTGTTTCCTTCAAGAATCAAATGAGAAATGTTAACTTTTCTTCTAAGATTTAAGTGAAAAGAGTTCAACATTGACAACTGAATGTTAGATAGATGACTATTTTTCCCAAAAAAAGAAGTACTGTACGGGCAACTACAAACAAATTTATTTTATCGATTTATGATTATTTGAAATTTAACCTCTAGATAGATAATATACTGTCATTTGAATATAGAAGAAAAATGAGAGAAATTTCAAATTAGTAATCATGATCGTTCGACCTATACATGATTTAAACTTCGACTGCATATATTATATAATCCAAAAATCATTTGAACAATCAAAACAAAAAAAGTCATTCTAATAATGATTAAACAACAAATCTTGGTGTACATAAAAAAAACAGCCTTCTGTAGATGAAGAAACTTAACAGTTGATATCATCAAAAACTCTTTTCGTTTTCTGCTTCTAAAACAAAAATAAACCCTTGAGGTATTGACTAAGACAGGTATAAATACTTACCTCGCATAAACCAGCAATCAGATCAGTAATATCTGTAAAATCGTTACTGAATGTATAAGGATCTATTAAATTTTCCACCATTTCTTGTCCCTCCTTTATCTAAACAAAATATTTACAAAGTATGATAAAATATAGGAGTAAATAAAAACAAACTTACATGACTTCCATCGTTATAATTTAACAAAACCATTCGCTGGGTGTTAATCGCACCAGCTTGTTCAATTATTGTCCCATGCAAATTTAAGAGATAGTCGTTCCGATACGAGATACCTAAAGATCTTTTTAAGCAAGTACAACAAAAATGTCCAAGCTCATCACTTTGTCGATCAGTAAGAAGGGGGAAGATACAGAACAGCCAAGTGAACAAGGAACGAACATATGTTGAGAAGAGGATTCTTTTCAGCTCGAGAAAGGACGTGTCATAGACTCTACATGATTTTACTATAGCTACTCTCTGTCTAATCTTAGCTTTATGAGTTGAGATTATCGATGACCAATTTAAAGTATTAGCTATCTTGTAACCTAGGTACTTGAAGCTCTTAACCCATTCTATTTGTACCTCCCCTAGTTGGACGTCGAACTTCGGGTTTCTAATGAATCGGCAGACCATAACAATTCAGTTTTATTATAATGAATAGGTTGTACAGTCAGGATAGCATAAAACTCCAGATATTCGTGACTTCATTTCCACTTGCTTGACATTCAGTTTCGATATTTGTTTATATAATCGATCGAAAATAGTGCGAAGAAGTCGACTATGCAATTAATGTAGAATACATTTAAAACACATGCTATTTATATATTCGCATGCTTATTTTAGAATTTTCTATATCAAAAAGAGAAAGAAAGAGTTTATTTCATTTCTCACTTCTTATTTCTATCTTCGTTCATATATGCATTCAGTTCGTTATCTCTGTTCATAATACATTCGTATACGGAGAACACGGCAATTTTGTTATACCTAACGCCTCGAAAAGCTATTTTGCTATGGCGAAGAAATTTTAAAGAGAAAAGATATGTTTGTTTTAAATACCTACCAGGGCTTTCTATGCTCCTGTAAAACAAGTAGTTTGATTGGTTAACTAAGCAAAAAGATCTTACCAAAGATTCTCGCTTGGTTTGTTTTGCTCGAGTTCGACTTTCTTGATTTTGACTAGCTTTATTTTTCATACTTGTTTATATGTTTAATAAAATAGTGCGAAAAGTCGAGTAGAATTAATGTAGAATATATATTTAAAATACGTGCACTTTATATATTCACATGCTTATTCTAGAATTTTCTATTTTAAAAAGATAAAAAAGGGAAAGAAATACTTTATTTCTTTTCTCACTTCTTATTTCTATCTTCGTTCATATATGCATTCAATTCATTATCTCTATTCGTAACACATTCGCACATGGACAACACGGCAGTTTTGTTATATCTAACGCCTCGAAAAGTTATTTTTCTAAGGCGAAGAAATTATAAAGAGAAGATATGTCTGTATCAAAAAAACGTTCCAGAGCTGTCTATTCTCCTGTAAAATAAGTAATTCGAGCGAACTTTATGATAATAATATGATCGAGTCGCATATTCTTTTTAAATCATTCTGCATAGAGATATTTACAAGAAAAAACGCAGAACGAATATACTAATTCATCTGATATTTATCACATTTTATAGTTGAAAATTGTCCATGTATAAACAATCATAATTGTTCCTATGGTGAATCTTGACTCTGCAAAACTAGCAGGAAATGGTTCAATCATTGACGAGAGAAAATTTCAAGGTGTATCGTGGGAGCTTCAATGAAATCCATGCGGATTTATCAAGTCAAGCATATATATAGATGAGATATGAAATAATTAGCGACTACGGTTATAACGAAAATAAAATTATAGTCATAACATTTCCCAAAAAATCAACACATGTTCTTCAGAACACAGATTTTTTCTTAAGGATTTCCTTTGTCTTAATAGTAAGGATTCAAATCAATAGTCTCTTTCGTTTATGTTGTCGTCAATGATTGACGAGAAAAGATCATCCAACTATCTCAAGTATACTCGGAAATCAGACTTGACAGGATATTGGATTTATCTTACCATCACGCTAGTTGTTGTTTTGCTAGACAAACGTCTCACTTCAAAGAATCGTCGAACTGAATACGAAAATTCCTTTTGTTAGTTCTCGTCTGCTTGTTTTTATATATAAATACTGGGATCGGATTGATCCTATATTTTCTAATATCTCTAATACCTTCCATATTTCTTACATTTCTGAAGAGTCTATGAACATATGAGTAAAAGATGAAAAATCGACCGGAATATGAAAGAAATATAAAATGACCAAAAATATAGGAATTTAGGTGGTTTAAGACAACATGGATGAATAAATCTTGATAGAAAGAATCTGTCGAACAGAAATAAAGAGTTTATCTTTAGACATATTTTAGGTAATTAATGATGAAAATGTGTGTTCTTTATTAATAAAAAGTATCAATATAAAGTTTATATATATAAACCTAGATCTTTCATTAAAATCGTATTAGATAAAATGAAAAGGGTTAAACAAGTTGACTACATTATTATTGATAGTTTTCTTCCATTACAACTACTATTTTGTTTTAGTTGCAAAAGACATTATATAATTTTCATTTTATTGAAAATCTTTTTATTCGATACAGTAATAGCTCGTGATTTCATTGTATCTAATATACATTACTTTTTTAACAATGTAATTATCATCATCATTTTCGTTAACATTTACATAATTCGATTCATTTTTATAAAAGATTCTGTGAGTTACTATCTATATTATCGTAATTCTATTTTTTACATTTTATAATTGAATTGCTAAGTACAGCGGAATCAGGTCATACGTTTTTATTTCCTTATACAATCTCGTTTTCATTTCTAATTTCATCCTAAGCTAGGAGAGACATGCAACTTTGATCATGAGCAAAAAAAAGGAATTGAAATGAAAGCTTATTCGTTCATGCCGACGATAGTACTTATGTTTCAATGTTTTGTATGCCTTATAAATACGTGTAATATATTATTGCTATTGATCTATTAGCAAGGATAATACTTGACAATGTCAACAATACAAAATAAAAAGAAATATATACACTTGTTCGTTGAAACATAACAGTTTAATTATATGATAAAATAGTTGTGTGAGATACGAGAGTTAATAATAGATGATGTAGATGCACACGAAAGAAATTAGCCTATAATACAAATAATTTGCTCAAATTATCGAATTAAAGTTACGTTTGTTGTTAACATCAACCATCGAAACTTTAAATTTATAACAATCAATTTTAGAGTGTAAATGTAGGTATGAAAACATACATTTATGTATCATTGAGAATAATAAAAAACGGAAAATAGATTGCCATATAAAAATAATATGTTTAAATCAAAATCATCGAAATATATTTACACATATCTGTGGTATTCTACGATTTAAAAACAAGTGCATACAAATGTATAGAAGTGAAAATAAAGATTTCCCTAAAAATTCCAGTATATATATGTATATATATAAAGCAGAATGTTTGTCTGTTAAAATCAAAATACTATAGAAACAAAATGAACTTTTGATAACATCTAAAAACTGATTATTTATGTCAAATAAAAAGATACGATCTAAATATTACAACGTAAGTAATTACTGATAGGTATATCACATAATCATCGCTTAGATGTCAGCAAGTACATTGCATGATTTATTATCGATATTTATGCATTTTTTTATTAAAGCATGTACATATAGATATATATGATGCAGATTCATAGAGTGACTTTACAGATTTTTGTCGATTTTTTATATGTGAAGGTGGTAGTATAAATATATATATTATATATTTTTCTTTATAATGATCAAAATCACTCATTGATAATTTCTACTATCAAAGATGCAGAAAGAAAGAAAGACGAGAAAAAACGACACAAGGTCACTTTCGAATGGTTTCACCTGACTAATTTTTGCCTTGGACGACACATACGTTGTCCTTATTCATACATTTCATTGTCGTTTCTTCTGTATCGGCTATGAATTAACACGAAACAAAGTGAATAGTATCTTAGAAAAATACTAAATTTAAATCTAGTGTATTTCTATTTTAAGGAATATTTATTGTTACCGATATTCATATATTACACAAAACAATAATATAATCATGGGTAATGTATTAAAAAGAAATGGAGGCACTGTTCAAGCGGCTCCACAACAAGGTGGAATGTATTCACCCGCTCAACAACAACCTATGGTGCAACAGCAACCTATGATGCAACAACAACAACCCATGATGCAGCAGCCTAGGATGCAACAACCTATGATGCAACAACAACCGATGATGCAACAACAACCGATGATGCAGCAACAGCCTATGATGCAACAACAACAACCAATGATGCAGCAACAACCGATGATGCAGCAACAGCAACCTGCATATCGACCACCCATGTATCCACCACAACAACCATCATTTCCAAGTGCTCCGAATATGCCACGTTATCCGGTTCCACACTCACTAGGAGGAATGCCGGCTGGTCAAAATCCTGCATCATATTATGAGAATGATGCATTTCTTTCAAGTTTAACTGGTTGGTCAACTCAAGATATCGAACGTTTGCGACATGAATTTTTAAGTTATGCTAATCCATATGGTGTTATTGATCGTGATGGTTTTCGTAAACTTTATGTTGCATCATTATTAAATATGACATGGGAAAATCTTGAACGTGATGCTGAATCAGCTTTTCGTAACTTTGATTTAAATCAAACAGGTGGATTAGATTTCAATGAATATATAACTGCTTGCTCTCGAATGGCTAGAGAAACAGGTTCTGGGCCTCCACCAGTGAGTCCATCTTACAATTATTAAATATTATTTTGTCTTCTTTTTATTGACTAAAAATCAAAGAAGATAATGACATAGAAAAATTTCTAATTACAATAAGTTTGATACTGTTAATAGTTTTTACTAAGTTCATGACAAAATTTCTTTGTCATAATTATAGTAAATTTTTTTTTTGTGTATTTTTCTTTCAAAAATAATCGAAAAAGTAATTTTACAGTTATGAATACAAACAAATAACAAAATTCGTCTTTTTTTTCCTATTATGTCTTATATATGTTTATTGATAATATGATGTAAATATTGAAAAAACTGTTTTATTTGATTATTATCATTTATATTAACTTGAATTGCTTTTTCAACTAGATCAACCATTCTATTAAAAACAATAAATAATTAATATTAATCAAATTCTAAAATAAAAATTACTCTTCCATATCCGTAAAATTTCGAATTGGATGAAGTATTTGATTATTTTCGATTTTATGAAGTAACTAAAATAAATTAAATATTTTTTGTTTTTATATAATATAAAATCCAAACTTCATTTGCACGTTGAACGACACCATCAGGTAAACCTACAGTTAATGCAGCATTAAATGCTTGACTTCGAATACATAAACCATCGATAACTCGATATAAATATACAAGTTTACCATCATCATCATACATTGTTTCCATTGTCTAAAAAAAAGAATCTCCATAAAATCTTTTTTTGTTCAATTTTACTTTGCATCGAATTTTTGAACTTGTTGATACAAGACGTTGTTGAATAAGATCATGAAAATGAGTAGCAATTACAACATGTGGACATGCTTGTTCTGCTTTAGACCATATTGTTATTAATGACGCTAATAATGCTGTACCATCAATCTAATTTCATATCTTAAAATTATTCTTTCCAAAAAATACTTTTTTTTTCTGTACTTCATTTGTACCAATACCAAATTCATCTATCAATACTAATGATCGGCCAGTGGCACCAGCAACAGCAAATGATGTTTCAAATAAATCACGTAAAAAATTCGATACACCCATTGTTAAATGAGTATCTAAATAAATATAATCTTATACAGAATAAACATTTTTATATATACCAGTATGAATTTTAACAAATAATTTATCCATTAAACCAAGTCGCATTTTATTAGCTGGTACAAAACAACCTTTAATTATAAAACAAAAGGAGATGTATATATATATACTATAAAATATTAATACTATACCAATTTGAGCCATATAAACAAGTAGTCCAATCTAAATATAAAAGATAATATATTTAAATAATATTTATTTTCTTACTTGTTTTATATAAATTGTCTTTCCTGAACAATTAAATCCAGTTAAAATATGTATATTAGCTTTATTTGGATGTACATCACTTGTATAACTATTCGGAACAATTATACTATTTGATAATAATGGATGTCTAATAAAATTAAAAATTTCGATTTCTTTTATTTGAATATTTATTGTATAAAACTAACTTTCCATCAATTATTTCAATTTGATTAGTTGCTGTTAATTCAGGTCGAGTATAATTATTTTGTTCACAAGCAATTAATGCAAATGAAAGCAAACTAAAATGATATGAAATTATATAAAACAAAAATTTGAATAAGAAAACTAGATTTTACCAGTCAAGTTGTGAACAAAATTCAGTTGCATCAACAAATAATTCTGTACCATCACGTAGAGCCTTGACAAGAAAAGATAATAATTTAGAATTTTATTTTTAGTCATACTAATGAAAGATTTCGTTTAATAGCTAATTCTTTAGCTAATAATTGTTTTCGTTTTTCTTCAGCTTCTTGTATTGTTACATCGATTTCACGAGTTCGACTAAATTATACAGAATTTTCTATATAATTTTTATAAAAGATTATTATTACCATCGCCATATTTGTCCTTGTCGATCATTCCAAATAAGATCATCATGATGAAATTTTTCTCCTTTAATTAATAATGTTGCGTTATCCTAGAAAACTTATGGTATATATATATATAAATTTCATTTTTAATTTACTTGAGTCATTGCATAATTTGAATCGATTCCACATTGTATTAAAAGATTATTTGCAAATTCAGCTTGTTGACGAAGTTTTTCATTTAATCGAATAAGATCATTTCGCACTATAATTTAAATTGAAAAAAAATCGATATTATCAAATCAATAAGACATACATTGTTCAAGATCAGGATCAGTTGGATCGATAAATACAATACGATTATCACGAACACTTCGTTGTAAATCAATCTATGATAAACAAATGTTTAGAATTATTTCATTTCAAGGAATTGTCCTATTGTTTTTTAATCATATGAAACTGAAAGGATATTTCAGGAGTAAGTACAGTGGATTCTACTAGGAGTTATTTTTACATATGTGCAATCACATAATGACATCGACGAAAATCCCGCTTTTTCCCGTTGACTGATATTTTTGTCGTGGTGATATGTTTCTATTTATTCAGTTATTTTCAATCCACATAATCATTCAGGAATTTTACATATATTTGATTTCTATTTCTAAACATACACTTATTTCAATAATATTTAATAATCTTGGCAAATCATCCGTAAGTTTCGAGCAAAGATCATTGAAAAAATATGTTTTCATTCGAAATGGTACTAAAGCCATACGAATCCGAAGTGTTGCACGTATTGACTAAAATAATTTTCTATTCTTATAATTTTATAACATAATAAAAATGTTTATACTTCAATAATTTGTTTCCATACGGTTATTCTTGTATTTTGATCAAATAATTTTCTTAATAATGTCTTATTGAAAAGAATATTAAATTATTTTTTCGTTATGCTAAAAGAAAATTATTAAATTACTGGAATATTAACAATTGATTTTAAATGATCACGTAATGTTCGCATTAATTCATGTTGATTTGTATCAAGAAAAAATTCAATAACATCATAACGACGTTCTAAAATTTCCGATGATCGACATGGTTTCAAACACCATGATCTAATTAAAAATAACAAGAAAGTTCGTCAAAAAAAATCTTTACCTTAATTTTCTACTTCCAATTGAAGATACACATCGTTTTAAAAATGCTTTTTAATTAATAACAAAATCAAAATAGAATACATAGCAAAAAATATATAATCTATTACCAAAAAGACTATTGACTTCTCGAAGATTATTTACTGTATTTGCTTTATATATTGATGGATGTATCGTAGGATTGAAGATTTCCAAAGCACTAGATTTTAGAAAATTATTTTGGGTTAATTTTCAAATGGAAACTATACCGAAAAGTAAATGGATGAACAATCATTAGAGCATTTCTAGAAGAAACAAAAAAATAATTCAAGGTAATTTTTCTTCATTCAATTTTTACAGATCATATGGACGTAAAGCAAGAATGTTTCCAGCAAGAAAATCAAATTCATATGATAAAACTGGACATCGTTCTTCAATAATTGGTAGAAGACCACCAATCGCACATAACTAAATAGAATATTAGAAAAAAAAATAAACTAAATAATAATTTTTACTGTATTCGGTATATTAAATGGCATTTTTGCTGAAATAAATGCTCGTTTTTTCTCATCAGTATCACATGTTAATGGATAAAGTGATTTCAATGTAAGAATTGTTCTTTCAACTGTATCTTTATCTAATGAAACAAAAACATTCATATATTCTTATTCAATTAAAATTTTTACGAAAATATGCTTGTGGTACAAGTTGTAATTTCGTATTATTTGCATCGACTATAGAACAAAGAAGATTATTAATATACATATAAGAAGAAAAATACAACTTGTTTGTATATTAAGATGATCATTTAACGCTTTATAATACTCATCACTTGTTTTAGCTGAACAAATAACCATTGACGGTTGAATATCCGTTAAAACTATCGAATTAAATTTTTATATATATTATAGAAATATTTAAAAACTTCTTTTTTTTACTCTGCTGAGTAATATCAAAACGTGATGTTTCTTCAACATCAGGAATGAAATAAATAATTGCCGATGATGAATCATAAAATGCAGCACCAAGTTTATTATGTGCAAAAAATACGCTAAGATAAATCTTTCAAAAGAAAATAAATCAAAAGAATAGTTTTTGAAAATACTTGATTTGCATGAGTATCTAAATCAGATGTTATCGATGAATAATCATCTTGAAACATAATTGAAATATCACAAATGAATTAAACGATTTTATATTTATCACGTGTTTCATAAATGTCGTTATCGAGAAAAATTTAAATTTAGTATATATCCAGGGTTTATAAAAAGAGCAATTTTTCATAGGGTGTCTCAAGTAAATATATATATATAGATATTGTTTCAAGAGAATAGAATTTATTAAATAATTAATCTATTTTTTCTCATATGAAGAATCAAATTTGTCAGCATATTAATCGAGACATATAGTAAAATGTATCACCTTTTTTTCCTCTCTTCTATTCAATCGATTTATATCTTTTCGATTAACTAGAAAATATATATCATTTTTTAATCAAATAATTCTCTTGACATACAAAATCATTTGAATAATTTATCAATTACAATATCTTCTCACCTACAAACAATACGTAAGATCAAATATACAAAAAAAAATTCTCTTTTAGTTAAAATGTCCTTATCAAATAATAAAATAATAGATATTATCTATCTGAAATAACAATCATATGAAGGTCATAACGATTCGTTTTCTTCTATGCAAATAAACGTAAAAACATGATGCTATCACGAAGACTAAATCATTAAAATAACCACATTCTCTCATTTTATTCGTAAAATCACGCTTTTAATGCGTGTTATTTACATCTGCTACCTATATTATCAGTGTTCTATTCGCCTACACTTGTGTACTCGTTAGTATAGATTACGAAACGAGTTAGAATATAAAAGGCATGATCAACAAACAGTACATTTACATTAATTTTTTCTTCGTAATATAATAAAAATGACGAAAGGTTTATCTGCATCAAATACGCCTAATGTATCAAATAAACAACAAGAAAATATTCATCAATTATGGTTAACAGCAGATGGTGTATGTTTTGATGTTGATTCAACTGTATGTATTGATGAAGCTATTGATGAATTAGCAAAATTTCAAAAAGTTGGTACATTAGTTGAAGCAATAACACGAAATGCAATGGGTGGTAATATGAGTTTTCGTACAGCATTACAAGCACGTCTTAATCTTATTAAACCAACATATGAAAATTTAGAAGAATTTATTGAAAATTTTCCATCACAATTAACAGATGGTATTACGGAACTTATTAATCTATTACATGAACGAAAAATTCCTGTTTATTTAATAACAGGTGGTTTTCATTCGATTGTTGATCCTATTGCAAAAAAATTAAATATTCCATTAAAAAATGTATTTGCTAATCGATTATTATTTAATGATAATGGTACATATGCCGGTTTTGATGAAAATGAAATGACATCAGATTCAGGTGGTAAAGGACGTGTTATTGAATATTTAAAATCAAAATATGATTATCAACGTTTAATTATGATTGGTGATGGTGCAACAGATATGGAAGCAAATGCTGATGGATTTATTGGTTTTGGTGGAAATGTTATACGAGATATTGTTCGTGATAATTCACCATGGTTTGTTAATTCATTTTATGTACTTATTGATGAATTACGAAATAATAGTAAAACAACTGTATCACATCATCGAACATTGACTACAAGAAAATATTCAACAGAAGTAATAGCAAATTAAAATGTATTTTGTTTATTATATTAGAGTAGAATATATATTTGTTTGTTTTTTCTGATTTTTATATTCTTTGAACTGATAAAGAGAATAAATTGGATGATAAAATATATAAAGCAAGAAACATTTAAGTTAGTTACATTCAGATTTGGTTTTTCACAATTTTAAAATTGATAGAAAAATAGATTGTCAGTCAAATTTTATTTCACAAAATAAAGAAAGTGAAACAATGATAAAATGATATATATATATAAATATAATGAATTATGTTGAAGAATAAAGAAATGAAATGTAATTTTGAAATAGTTAATTTCTTTTGTTAGGAGCTGCTCGTTGATGGAGTGTTCCTTCATTTGAATCTGTTTCTGCTGGATGAACACGAGCACTAGTGATACGTGGACTAAGTTTTCGTGTTCCTCCATTTGAACTGCGTTGTGTTGGCCAACCATACTCAGTATCATCCTCATCGAGTATTTTACCGTTTATATTCATTATTGAACTTCCTTTAGTAACTGATGATGCTGTTGATGGTCGTGTAGTACTATTATTATCATTATTTAATTTATTATCTTCAATAGAATCTGAATCTGCTTCTTTATCAACAATACCGCATTTACGACCAATCCAACGAAATTTAGCCACAATTTCTTCTTGCATTAAATCAAAACACATAGCTAATATTGCCATACCAAAAAGTACGTAGATTGCACCAATAATAAGTTTAAAAGCTGGATCATCGGCTCCTTGACCAGGTACCTATGATATTATTTATGTTTTTTATTTTAATCAAAAAAAAAACGACAAAAATAAATATAAGAATTTCTATTACTTACAAAATCACCAAATCCGATTGTTGCTAAAAAATAAAAAGAAATAAGAAATTTTTTCTAATACATTTTAAATGATATTTACCTAATGTAATAAAACAAAAATATCCAGCTTGTGTCGAAGTCCATTGTTCAAAACTATGAAACATCATTGAACCAAACCATATATATGCAGCAATAATTAACATAGTTACTGTTAATGGTACAGTCACTCGTGGTTCTTCTATTTCTTCATCTTCATCAACATTTGCTTGATTAGCAAGTGTATTTGTTCGTTTTTTCAATGAGTTATCATCTTGTGCTGCCCAACCATTACCATCAGTTTGATTATTACTTACACCTCTTTCTTCTGCAAGTTTAGCTTTACGTGCTAATTCTCGATGTTCTTTTATTCTATGACATGGTCCACAACATATTCTTCCATAAATAAAACGAAACATTTCGCCAAGTACACCACTTATATTTGCAATACATAAAAGAAATATTGGAATACCTTAAGAAGAGAAAAACAATTTAAAGGAATTTTCTTTTCCTGATATTTTTCATACCAATTGTTGCATAACATATGCAACATATTTGACCTTCCCCTATAAAGATATTTCATATTTTTTTTGTCAAAAATAAAACAAAGATTTTTCTTACATGTCACGGGACTAAAATAAAACAAAAAGAAAAAAAATTGAATAATAAAATATGTATATTTATTCTTACGTTATATTTCCATAACCAATTGTTGTAATAATTGTTATAGCAAAAAGTAAAGCATTTGCATATGTCCATTTAGGACTTGAACAACCGCCTCCATAATAACGATAATTTGAACCAATATCAAGAACAAAATCTCGATAACCATATAACATTGTAGCTATTTTATCATAGGCAACTGATTGATTATCTCTTTCAATAACATATGTTAATGTTGGTGATGTTGATGGTGATGGTGGTGCTGCTGGTGTTGTTGTTGTATTATATTGTATATAAGTAACAATTTTTTGTTTAAGTTTAGTTAATTGAACTCTAAGTTCGCCTTCAGCTTCTTGACAATTTAATTTTTCTTGATGTGCTTCGAGTAATTCAAATAGAAATCCACCAGCAGCAGCATAAACAACAACAAGACCAACAAGACCAACATGTGAAAATAGAAATTTTCCTATTTTTTTTAAAAATAGGCGAGTTTTTGATATTTGAACTTCGTCCAGTTCACCATCATTTGCATTATTTGAACGATTATTATTATTACCACGAGGCGTCGAAATATCATTTCGATAAATACCATCATAAGCCATAGATACATCTTGTTGTGGCAGCATTTTTAGTTTTATTTTTCAATCTACACACATACACAAATAACAAAAAAAGAAAAAAATAATCTTATAAATTCATACTTAAAAAGAAAAAATAATAATTTTAAGTATTATTAGTTTTCTCTTCTTTTACTGTAGTTTTCTTTCTTCTATCTACCTATACACAATATATGTCGATCTCATTCGGTAAATGTTGTCTAAATTTTTTCTTCTACGCCTTTCTCTCTCTCTCTCTCTCTCTTTCTCGTTTTTCGGCTACATTAGTTAGTTAGTTTGTGTGAAGGGAGAAAAAAATTGATTTGGATAGAAATATAGCAGAGAAAAAAAAGGCAAAAGGAGTTATTGTCTCTCGATAAGAGACCTGTCGTTTTCTTATTTTTTGCACTTTCTTTTCTATATCGTATTCATTTAAATATATATATATACAAATGTTTACTGTCAGCTACTTCCGATGACGACGACACGTAACATAACCCGAACGGTGTATTATATATAATCAAGAAAAAGATCATAAATATTTTAGTTGGTTTACTCAATTCTATATGGAATAATAGAAAAAGAAAGGATATTAACAAGTAACTAAATTAAATACAAATATACTTTGTTGTTTTCTTCTTCGTCGTCTGAAAAATAAACTGAGCTATTTAGATGTGGAAATTTAATTCTATCATTGAGATAAATTTAAGTTTAATAATACGTCTGTTGGTTGAATATTATTTTTCTACTGGAAAAATATAGCGTTACAATACAAATAGGAAAAAGTAATTTTCTAATGAGACATTCTTGCTATATGATTATATCAATTTTTATAATTAGAAAGCATATGATTGTTTTCTCATTTTCTAACAAAAACATTTCTATTTAATAAAAAAATAAAATTTCATTTTACAATCCGATGTCTTTTTTCTCATATAGAAACAAAGTCAGATATATGATATTGGAATCAATGCAATACAAAAAAGTTATTCAAAATATCAGAATTATACAATATAAAACTAAATTTTTTTTATTCTTTTCAAAGATTAATAATAAATATGAACCGTCTACGAGCGACATACTTCATATATATTTTTATTGATTTGCCGTCCTTATTCTACCTAATGAAAAAAAAAGAATATTGCACTAAATTTGATTATTTATCCACTAAATGTTAATATTGCAATTGTTTTATGTGTATGTCATATATTAGAGATTATCGTCAAAAAATCTATATTATTATAGCCTTGATATGTGTTTTTATCTATTTTAAACTTTATTCAAAAAGTGACAACGAGAAAAGAAAACAATTATTATCATCAGGTTCGATGTAATCTCTTAGCATATGTGTTTTATATATTTACCTTTTTTTCTATGCCTATTACATCAGTTATAAGATAAAAACGAAAAGAAAAGAAAAGACAAATCGTATATTATTAAGAAACGAAAAATATTTTTATTCATTCATCTTTTTTTTTGTAGAATCCAGCATGCATAATGGTCATGATCATGCCGCTATGATTAGTACTACAACACCATCAATGAGCCATGATCATCATGCAATGGGTCATGCATCTGAGACAAGTACAAATTTGAGTGGACATGGTCTTCATATGAAAGATATGATGATGATGGCAGTGAGTAGATTTATATTTTTTTTAAATAGTTAATCGTACATTGAAGTTTGATATAAGCTAATTTATATTCTTATCATTTGATGATCACGTATGGAAACGAGGTTTTATATCTGTTCTAAATGTAAAGATTGCTTGTATATGATTACAATGCATAAATAAAATAAAGAAACTTTTGATTAATGACTATGTAAAAAATTGATTGATGGAATTCTGAAATAATTTGACTTTTTTAATGTTTGGATATTACGAATTCATTGCAACTATGAAAATTTCTAAATATGGATTTTTAATTATCCACACTGATATTATTAAATAGTCTAAACTATTCACTCATTGTAATATATATTTATAATAGTTCTTATTTTTTTTTATTAAAAGATGACATTTCACGGTGGTTATAAAGAACAAATTTTATTCGATCAATGGGATACGAAAACGCTTGGAGGTAAATAGGTTTATAAAACTCATTCATAAAAATCTATATCTTATTTCTTTTTTGAAGCATTTATTGGTTCTTGGTTTGTAGTATTCTTTATTGCTGTTTTATATGAGGCATTAAAAGCATTACGAGATTATTTATCAAAAGGTGATGGTTGCGATGTATGCTCTCAAACGCAAGATCGTCAACAACCAAAGTAAGTTTATTTGGTTGATTTATTTCTATATAAATATAGAGATCGTTAGAGCACTAAGTCTTGATTCATACACTACTTAGGCTTATAATCAAAACGATTCTTACCATTAACTTATTCTGATATTAGTGACTCTCTCTATGAATTTCAGTATTCACTTTGACATATAATGTCGAGACTGATCATGTGAATAAAGCGAACACTTATCTAATAATACAAGTAAAAACATTATCAACATACAGTATCTCATAGATCTACAGTCATGATAAAAATAACTATTGATTTTATTAAATAATTTAATATTATTTTTATTTAGAGCTCGTTTATTAAGACTTCCACATATAATTCAAACATTTTTACATATTCTTCAAATGACTGTTAGTTATGGACTGATGCTTATCGCTATGACATATAATACTTATTTATTTTTTGCGGTGATACTTGGTGCTGGTTTTGGTCACTTTTTATTTGCTTGGCGTCGTTCATCTGTTATTGATTATAATGAACATTGCCATTAATATTAAAAAAAAAACAATACGATTTTTTTTTCTTAAGTTTGTAATTAATTGCTGTTGTTATCATTTTTTCTTGATTAGAACATTCCTTTTATGAAGTATTGCCAAACGATTGAAAGGGATGACTGTTTTTTTTTTCTATAAAATTTGTTACTTTGATTGATAGAGATGAATTATTTTTGAATAGAATGTATAGACATCTTTGTTTCATATTTTATATATAAAGTTTTTGTCAATATAGCTCAAAACTTATTTTGCATTCTTATAAAAATTCGTTGTATGATGAATCAAAAAGATATTTTAGGGAATAATTTATATTACTGACAATACGATTTGAGTACTTTTGAATAATTCGTTGTGTACGGAAAGTTCAAAAAAACAACTTTTCTCTGATTATGAGATTATTTCTGCTTATATAATCAAGCAGACTTATGTATATTAATATTAAAATAAACTTATTCAAGCAAAAGACCCGTTGTCTTGAGATATTAGTACTCTTTAATATATTATAGAAAATGCAATATAGTGAAAATAATTAGATTTTCTTTTTTATCATAAATATAAACAAATAATTTACGATAATTTTGTTCTTTTCACAACACATATTATGGTAATTTTATTCAATTAAAAGCTATTGTAAAAGGAAGAATTTTTCTAAAATTTTCAAACATCGGAAAAAATAAAGATAATAATGAGATTATTACTACACATCGAACATTTAATATAGTCTATGATCTTTTAAAGATTATCTTTGAAAAATGATATATTCAATTTTCTAATAATTGACTGGATAAATACTTCTATTGAATTACCAAAAGTCTGAATTTTTTATAGAATCAAATTTTTTCTATGAAAAGATAAATTATATATGAAAAAGGACGCTTAAATTCTAATCATAAAGAACTTATAAATAGTTTTTGTATCCAAACTAGAAAAGTTCTTTTTGTCTTTCATATATCAATAATATTCAGAAAAAAACCAAAAATGAAAAGAAAAATATTTTTTCAATTAATCATAGACTATATGTTTTCTTTCGTGCTTGAAGAAATAATATATAAAACTCCGAACATAGATAGCAGAACATGATGACAATACATTTAAACAAACGAAGAAGAAGAAGAAGAAGAAAAAAACAAAATCACGAATATACACAATTGTTTATAGTGAATAATCATAAATATTTTGTTCGTATAGATTTTATTTTCTGTTTTTTGAAAAAAAATAGAACTAAGAAAAAGAAAATGTATTTTATAAAGTCAATTATTTCTTTTGAACCTAAATAAAAAGAAAAGAAACATTCAAAATATAAATAAAATCTTTTTTATTCAATTTTAAACTATACCGGTAAATATAATTTGAATTCCGGTGGTAATTCATCTTCTGAATAAAGTCGATCCGAGAAGTAAACACGTCGAATACGACAATTAGCATGTATCTAAAAGAAAAATATCACGAGTTTTTTTTCCTTTGAAAACAAAATTGATTTCTACATACTTGAACTCGAAGTGTTTCAATATAATTTGTACCATAAGCACGTCTCGTAAAATCCGATAGATTAAATTGAATTTGATTCCATCCATCATCCAAACGCATTGGCATTGTACATATAAATGGTTTTACACGTGTAGTTGATTGATAATTACTCGCACGAAATCGACGACGAACATTTCGATCATCAAGTACCTTATTAATATATCAAATTAAGAAATCAAATATCATATTTAATTATCTTTCTTACTTGTACTTCAAATGTAAAATATTTTTTTAAATTTTTTATAATCATAACAAGAAATGGTAGTTTAATGCCAAGAGTTTTTTTTTGGATCAGCTGGACATGTTATATATGTTGTACTAACATTTGTACCAACTATTTCCAAGACAAGTGATTGAATTTCATTATCTGTTATTCTTTTGATATGTCCATTACGTACCTAAGATAGATTAAATACAAAAATATGTTTAATAAAACAAGAATTACAAAATTTTCAAACCTTTTTATCCCAAATCTGTAATGGTTTACTGCCAATACTGTATAATATTGAAAGAAAACCACTTTGAAATGTATTTTTGAACATATCTCAAAAAGAATAAATGTATAATGTGGAGAAAATGAGAGAGAGAGTTTGTAGCAAGCAAGGTCGTCATAGGTACCTCAATCACTTGGAAACACTATATTGATCAACGACAACGACAACAACGACTATTTATTTCTCCTTTTTTTTCTTCTTTATAAACATGGCTGATTGATACCTAGTAACCGACCCTGATGAATGGTCAAAATATTATTGAAAATTTTTTCAAAGAAATTTTTTCTTTAATCACATAGATTTAGATAAGAAAATTCTTAATATTTAAGAAATCATTATTTTTCTTTTGACAAGATAGAGGGCGTACTAAAGCGTATGTTGTCAATTTGGATTAAAAATATTGTTCACTTTAAAGAGTTTTTCACGCCCTGCAGCAGGTAGTCAAGTCGTATTTTCTGAGAATTTTGAGTGATGCATACTTAAAACCTTTGGATATTTTCATGATCTAAGACACGTAAGGGATGTCTGATCATTCGAAAATAGACGAATGAATAATTAAAACTAACTGCTGAGCTAAATCAGGATTATATCGAACAATGATCTAAAGAAATCAGATGACTTCAATTTATTGCTATGTCTTTAGGGTGATCTTTTCTTTCCGATAAAAAAAAACAATTTAATAAATATTTATTTATTTATTGGAAAAAATGCCTTATAGATATCAAAAAAAAGAAGAAATGAAAGTATGATTGGTAGATTGTTCATTGAAAAAATATTGATACACTACATCACAATATTATTTCAGGTTAACATCCATGTTGGTGTAAATGATGTAAAATTCCATTTATCTGGATGACCAATATGTGATACTTTTTTATCGAAATCTGATTCACTCCAAACAAATGGTGGTTGTTGATCAGATGTTGGACCAGCAATAGCAACAAGTGTAAAATTTTGCATCATTGCATAATTCATAATCTATGAAAAGAAAAAGTATTATATATATGTTCACTTAAAATAAGCCTTTATAGGAAGAAGAAGAATTTTTGATTAGCAAATGTAGATGATGTCATCTGTAATATACGTCTTGAAAAGTTATTAAAGAACTCAGACAAAAACACTTTACAATCAACAGTGTCGTCGTTTATCTTAATAAAAAAAGAAACTCGGCTAGGATAGAAGATGCATAAGGTTTTAAAATGGATAATCATATACTTTGAGGACGAATGTGAGTTAACCTAGTACATCATTGACTAAAGGAAATACTCTCAAGGCATCATCAATATTATTTAAAACGTTCATGAAGTCACTAAATATATCATTTTGACGCAAATCAGCATCCTATGTAATACATATTGTTGATTTTCAATGTCTTCTTAGAAGGACACTAGAATCTTTATACTGACGTACATAAATAAGAATCTACTAACAGCATGTAATAACTTATAGATTAAAAAACTTCATCATAAGATCTTCTGTCTCGTAATTAAAATTTGTTTACTGAAACAGATACATTTTTAATTGTGTCATTTATTTGTTTTCTTCGACTAAATATAAATTCTTACCTTAGCATCTGTTGCACCATGTACACGATGTCCTAATGGTGAATCAGGATATGTTCCATTAGCTGGATTAAGATCACATCGTGCAGCAATAGTTAATTCTGCTGAATATGGTGGATCACATTTACATTTAGATAAAGCATCATTTTTAAAATCATTATATCTAAAATTTTAAAATAAGATAAATTCATTGAGAATAAAAAATAGATAATTACCTCATCATTTTAATCATTGATGGTAAATCAACAACTTTATTTTGATCACGTGCAAATATTCTTGCACGTGAAGAATTAGCCCATGAATATAATTTAGGTCCCATTTTTTGAACCATTGCTTCTTCACCTGATAAATCACGAAAATCTGGAAAATAGACATTGTTATACGATGCCCAATAACCATCTTGATTTAATTTTCCAGTCATATCGGTATATTCAAAATTATTAACTAATTGTTCAGCAACCATTAGAAATCTATTAAAAACAGATAAATATTTTCTATGTGAATCTGAATATTACCCAGCTTTTGGTAATTGTCCTGGTGTAAATTGTTTAAAATCACTAATCATCCATTGATTATTATAAGTTCCATCATTGAAAATAAAGAATTTATCGATCCATTCTTGACCGGAATTAGCTAAACGATTCGCAGTTACAACACGAATCCATTCAGGTACAGATATTGGAATAATATTATGTAATAAATTATTATTATAATTAGCAATTGTTGTTTCAATTACTGTTAATTTTCCAGGACGTGTCATATAAAAATCATCTTGAAAAAAATAGATAGAAATTTCTTATTTATACGAATAAATAAAATAACATACCAACTGAATGAAGTGTTCCGGGATAAGATGAAAAAATAATATCGGCACCTGGAATAATTTCACCTAGAAAAAAACATATATCGTGATATGCCATCGAAATTTCTTATATATCTCACTTCCGGCAGCTGTTGATCGTTTTAATGGCATTATATAACGTTTAATTACTTTTAACATTGTTCGATAATTACTCCAATCAGCATGAGATACGAATATATCTGCATTATTGGGTAAAATCTAAATAAAATAATGTTTTTTCGTATTAAATATAATTTTCATTTAGTTTTACTTTAATTAATGCTGAACAACTATCATGTCGTTCGACATTTGGTACACCTAAACGTGCAGCTAGATCACCGATTGATTCAACTACTTGAAATAGACTAAAATTGAGGAAGAAGAAAAAACAAATATTTTATTAAAGATAATCAATTTATTTACAAGAATCCAAGGGGATCATCAATTCTATGTCTTGGTTCACGTGGTGTATTTTGATTTCCATCAATAAGACCATTTAATTGAATAAGAAGTAAATTGACCTAAATAAAAACAAACATTTACAAAAAGAAATTAATCTTTCTTCAAATACTTGATGCCAATATTCATCATCGGGATAGGTTTCAATTTGTGTATATAACCAATCAAGTTGTATTTCAAAAAATTGTTTAAGATAATTACAAAATTTGACTTGGTTAACACAAACATCACTGATACTATTTTGCCATTGCCAACCAGTTAATTCTAGACAAGACAAAAGAAATGATATTGTTTATATTTTAATCTCGAAAAAATTCAAGCTCAAACCTCGTGTAAATTGTCCTTCAAGTAAACCAGCTGAATAAGCTTGATCAAAATTTGTTTGATTAGGTGAAGTTTTAATTTCTAATACTGACCAACCAGTTGTATTATATGTCTGATCCCAAAATCCAGTTGCTAATACATTATTTACACTTGCATCAGGTTCTTTATAAGCATTTGCTAATGCTGTAGTTATTTCATATTTTCCATTATTTTTCCAAATATGACCACGATATCGATGAAGTGATGGGTCATCATTTGCTAACGTTAATTTTAACGTTATAAGTGCAACAAACGTGAAATATTGTGCAAACATTGTTATCTAAAATAAAAGACAATGATTCGAATGGTAGCCGTTGATACATATATATATAGATGTTTAGTTAGTCGAAAGATAAGAAAAGAAGAGAAGATAAATTTGTTGGACTTTAAAAAATTACATTGGATATTTAAGAACTAATGAAAAATAGTTTATAATCATATTAATCACTTTTAATAATACAATGGATTTTAAGCTTTAAAAGGAAAACAAATGCAACATGTGTTATTTATTATTATTATATCAGCTGTAGTTCTACAAAATTTTATAATAAAATAAATTTAGAATATTCCGTTTTTAATGAATTTTTTTTTCTCGTTTATTACTTGTCTTCATTGAACATCAATTAATTATCTTCTCAAGTACCATTCATTACTTGTCAAAATATCAAGAACTTAAAGTCGGAAATGTTATTAGTTCGATTTTAATTATAGAAAAATGTCTATTCAAAATCTTTTTGTTTTTATTTGTTGACAAAAACGTCTTTATCATCACCGATCCATCGAAAGAATAAAAGAGGACAAATAATAAGCCAAAACAAAAAAAAAATTTGGAGGAAAGGGGTATGAGCAACAACAACAAACATGTATTGATCAATTAACTGAAAGCAAACAAATAAAATGACACATCGTTTTTTTTCCTATATATATATATATATATAATTATATTGTCTTTTGTCAAAGAGAAAAAAAATTCAAATTGAATAAATACAATCTCACCCTTAAATCAAAAAGTAAATTTCACAAAAAAGAAAAAACAATAAAATCCGTAGTGTCAAACAATAGGCACACAAGATATTGAGGTTTAGGACTTTGACAACATAAAAAGGAATGAAATATTCCAAATATGAGGGTATACAAGATATAAATTTTGATAACTCGTGAACAGAAATAAAAAACAAGTCATCACATACTCTCAAAGAAACTATGATAAATAGATAAATGAGCATCAACAACAGCTAGAATAGACTCTCTCTTTTTTTTTGTTTTATTTTTGCTTTTTATATTTTATAATAATGTACTTGAATATGATGATTTTATTGCTGCTGCAACTGGCATACCGGAACGATGAAAATGAACACATTGCCAACGAGTATCTTTCTTATGCCATACACGAGTTTCTTCAGTTCGAACACTTTGTGCTTGTCCATGACTAAATAGAAAAAAATATTATTTTTCCAAAACATTACAAATTCATTTTTTTTACCGATCAATATATTGAAGAAGTAAAACATAAGCTATACAAGCTGATTCATCTCCTAATGTATGTACAACTGGTGTTAACATTGTACAATTGATTGTTGGTTTACTTGCTTTAGCCGATAATACTAAATAGAAGAAAAGTAAAATTAAAAATATTATACAAAATATTCGAATAAAACAAGGATAAGGTTTCATTAAAACAAATTCACAACAACACACATATACAGATAAATTACCTGTATCAGAACGAGCAAATCTTCCTGAAAATAATTCGGGTAAATCATGATATCACAAAAGACAAATGGACAAAAGGTAGGTGAGGGTTTCTATCGGTATTTTGTTAT